GCGACTTGCGCTACAAAAGCATACGTATCGCCTAATGCGATTTTACTGACTAGATGACCAAGGTGATGGTTGAGCTTGGTCATCTACGAGTAAGGTATCCACAATAACTATCTTAACGTGCGTCAAGGGTCTTGAGAACGCCGTCCGAAAACACGCGGAATTTTATGTCAACTCCATCCTTAGAGTCCTGCTGTCTAAAAAACGTTCTAGAGGAATCGTCAATTAGTTCGTAACCGCCTGTATGACCGTCTGTATGAAACAACAAATTGCGTAATTTGCCCTTACGGCAGGGACGGTGATTGCATGAGTTCAGGTACGATATACCTGATCTCTTGTAATAATTGCGGAGATGAATATATTGGCGAAACGGGCAGACCTTTGTGTATCCGTATAGAAGAACACCTAGATGGCAAACGAAAACTAAGACGAAGCACCCCACTAGGCACGCATAGGATACAAGAGCATAGCGGAGACGATTTTGAAATAAAAGTCAATGTCCTTGCACAGGAGACTAAAACACCAGCGCGAAAACTTCTTAAGGTTTTTTGGATAAATGCCAAAAACCCTGCAATGAATAGCAGGGAGGAATGCCCAGAGCTCATACACGACCTGACCCCGTATGTTCGCATCAATTTCTGATGTGGGATGGTGCAGTCATCAACCATATGCGACTATAATCAGCTGTTCTAAACTTTCTCATTGGAGGTCACGAAAAAGCGGTGGGTTTTTTCGAGAAGTTGTTGATCATGTAATTACCAAAGAGTTTTTCGTCTTTTTGTAAGTGTTATTGAAGCGTTTGGCCTAGTAGATTGTGTATCAGTATACCCTTCCAGGCTCTGAAGAAGGCGATACTGCCGAAACGTCAGCTAGCGTTGTATTGTATTGTGTTTTTATGGAAGTAAATGTATGCTGCTTAACAACCTAGCGATTGCTGAGCAAGAAAACGCCACATTCATATTCCAATGCCGAGGTTAATAGAAAGTCGATCCTGGAAACTATCTTCACGTGCTTTCATACCATTCTGAGAGGAATACCACGTCTTAAAGACTATACTTATAAGAATTATCTCCTTGATCCTCATTAACACATCGGGTCAGAATATAACTTGTTGAATACCTTGGATCAATCTCGCTCTGAAGAAGACGAGGACGTCGAAGCCTTAGCCGAATAAACATTTTACACAGGCTTCTTGGCATCTCATAAATAAAAGAAGCTACTACATAATGAGAGCTCATTGAAATAAGGAGTTATAGCACAATGTTCACTCCAAGTGAAGTCAAATGCAAAGCCTCTACAAAATGCTGGAGTATCAACAATCACGGGACCAAGCAGAACATCAAAAAAATTTCTATCATAAACTCTGGCTTTAGAAGTTCATTGAACTGAAATAAGGAATAAGCCCCGGTGGAAATTGAGAATAATCATTGTGGCCCCTCCTATTATACAAGGCTACACCACGGGCTATACAGTAACGTCTTCACGTCCAGAATTTCACCACTCTACAACAACATTCGGACAAAGCGGCATCATAAAGCCGTAAATGTTGAGCACAACAAAAAAAATGTATAGGTGTAATAAGTTAAGATCGATGGTGAGTGAATGAGTGCGTTTTCCTTGTTAACTCCGCTGTTTTCATAGCAACGTCCCAACTGTTTACCGCCTTATCGTGGCTGGGATGTGTTCCTGGGTGTTAGACTGCGATGTACAGCGGGGGAATTCGTCCCCAGGCAGGGTCTCGCAAGCTGAGAAGGAGTCCGACGTTTCTATCAGGAAGTCTAGCTAAGGGTTAACCGATACCAAGACCCACCACCGTCCTGGTATCAAAGTCGTATGGTGGTAAATCTCCCTCTGATCCACAAGGGCTGCGACTGCCGTGGTGATGAAGAGCTGGGGCAGACTTTAGCCAGGCCGACCTCGGGACTCTAGGAAATCATAACGGCTTAACCAGCAAATCTCCGAAAAATGGAGATTATGCTGGAGCCCGCACAACCAGTAAGGATGGGCCATTCAAGTGTCAAGTAAGTAAGTAAGTTTTCATAGCACCAAAAATTAGCCAGACAGGGCGAATTCTTACTATCATGGAAGAAAGAAGTCGAACTACGACCGAACATAAAAACATAGTGTTCATGAGAAGATGGTGTCCTATTGCTTGCTCAGCAACAGATCGGACATCTTCAAGTTTTCCACCTATGAGTATTCCGCATTTTCCATGATCCAGAATTCCATGGAGCGTGCTGTCCATCGACTGAGTGATATGCTTCTTGTTTTTCTTCCTTCGTGAGAAAATCCGAACCTCCGACATAAACGATCGACGATCACGACAGTGCCACGCTCTGCAAGACATCGAAGACCACTACGACTAGAGCACATCATGCATTTAAACGATATTCATTGAATAAAAGCCGTCGGCAGTTGGATTCTAAGTGGTGCTAGGAGTGTCTTTCTAGGACTGGTACTTATTTATTCATTAACCCTTCTGCGTTGAAGCCGGTTTTTCGACAAGTGACGATAATTTCTCGATCAATAAAGTGTTTCAGATGTTTAGAACTCCATAGACTCATGGAAGGGACCTTACCATCTTGCACTAATTGTATATGTAAATTTTGTACAGTGTTATTTTTAAGTGCATTTAATTCCGCAATAATTCTTTAGAATCAGGATTTTCAGTAAACGGAAGTTGAAATCGGAAATAAACAAAAGAAAGGAAAAGGGGCAGCTGCGAACATAACTGACACATTGTGGAACACCATAGTCTTGTAATAGACAAAATGCAGCTTGTTCATTTGCTTTGGTGTTCGAAATGTGAGTCTTGAAGCATTAAAAAGTAGAAAAAATTAAAAAAACCTTTTAAAATAAAAGTAAATTTTAAAATAAAAACTTGGATGGTGCTGAGATATTTGCAAAACTCCGGACCGCAGGTGTCTGCGGTGGGGAACGAACGCGATATTGTCCTTTCCGGGTAGTAACGCGTTCACCACCACACCATGCGGGTTCTTCGTTTCGCCTGTCTCTCAGCTAGTTCTATCGATTTCTGCCATCAGCAATCACCCGTCAGTGGGGTTGATCTGGGGAGCAAGTCGGCAATAAACCAAGTTAAGCTGAGGCTTTAGTTATAATCACAATCTTAACCGTTTTACTTACTGCCTACTCTTTTTAATGGCAGGGTATATTGCGAAATATATCCGCAGAAGGATCCGCATGTTATGGTTGTGAACGCGTTTCTCCACCGAAGGGATAATAATGCGTTCGTTTCCCACCGCAGACACCTGCGGTACGGAGTTTTGCAAATATCTCAGCACTGTTGAAGTTATATTTTGCAAAATACCCTGCCATTAAAAAGAGGAGGCAGTAAATGAAACGGTTAAGATTGTGATTATAAAAACTTGGACTTTGCAAAATTATAGATCACCCGTGGGAAAGCAAGAGAACGCCTATCCTATAAGCAAAGATTTACTCTTGTTGACTCCTGGTTTCCCCAGCCCACGTTATTTTATGAGTTTGTCAATGAGTCGAGAAGGCTACAACTTCATCTTGTGAATTCTGTGGAATCCAATATAAGCCTAAACAAAAAAAACTATAGCAAAAAAAACATCGAACGATCGAATCAAGGTGAACAAAGGAAGAAATGGTGAAGCGAGAAACGTTTTTTATTCCAATTAAATATTCATATGGGCGGTCGAGATGGTACAATTTGGGCCAATCGAAACCGCGTTTTACACAGAAAATTACACAAGTTCTCAAGACCAAAGATTCGTATGGGTTTCTTGAAGAATCATCCCAATGTCTAGTACGATTTTATTCGAATGTCTGTGAGTGACGCAATGGAATTCCGAAATTTTATGATCATGCTTTATCTAAATACATTACTAGTTCAATTATTGAGATAAGTTGATTGGAGAGAACGAAGTTTCCTTGGCAAAACTTGGACCTCGAGGCGGATCTAGCCATGATTACCTTTTCCAGGAGCTCGCGTACTATACACTGCAACACTAAGGCCTTTGCTTTGCGTTTTTCCCAGCTTGTTTTAGGCAGCAAATAAAGGACTAACATTGTGGTTTTGACTACAGCCTTGGCTTAACTGGGTTCAATGCTGATTTGTGTTCACCGTATCAATCCCGCTGACGGGTGATTGCTGGTGGCAGCGCTAGGCAGAAAATTATCTAAGAGAAATTCAGAGCAAACGTCACAGTGGTAAAGTATGCAATACGCGAGCCTCAGGAAAAGGTAATCGTCGTTCGATCTGGTCTGGGGCTCAACTTTTGCGAATATCTCAGCATCGTCGCTGTTTATTTCACATTATATACTACCGTGAAAAATTATAGTAGGCAGGAAATAAAAAGGTAACAGTCGCCCCCGTGTATTACTCTGTGCGCCTTATCTCCACCAACTGATTGGAATACTTGCAACGAATAAAGGGCTCTACGTCAGCCATTGTATGCTAATAAATTCTGCAATACCAACCTCGTGTCTGCTTTTTGAAGAAAAACAACGAATTTAAAGGTTAACATTTCCTTGGTATCTTTATTGAAATGTGTAATGTAAGTGGGATTGCGAAATCCTTCAAAATGATTTGACTTTCTGGGAAGCCAGAGCTGGTGAAGGTATTTTCATTATGAGCAGTACAATCCATGTGATGAGGTCTTGAAGTTCAGTAGGAAAGAATGAAAGAGGCGTGAACCTGCAAAAGTACTCACTAATTTCTGTAACATACCAAATACACAAAAGTTATGAAAGTATCTTCAATCGGTGAAGCCGAGTTCTTCAACGTGAAAGATTTTTTCCTTTAAAAACACTGACGTCGTCGATGACTTGGAAAAGAAGCTGATCAGATTTGACACTTTTTCGTAAATATTTAAGAGCTTGGAAATCTTCCAGAAGGTTAAGTTTCTGTTACGTTGATCACTGTCTCTAAAGAAGTTAGAGCAGCTTGACCTTACTTCCTCTTCGGGGACCAAAGCAACGAAGAGAAATGAAGAAAATTGCTAGTAAGAAGATGGAACTCACACGAGTATGCTGTCCCATCCGACGTGATATCTAGCTCGGGGATAAACGGCAGTTAATGCGTGATAGTAGGCTTCCGTTACATGATTGATCTGTTTACTGCTCAACAATCCGAGCAACCAGAACGTCTTCTTTCGCACTCAAATAATTACTTTACTCTTTAAATAAATTCTTTTCTGGGAAAATTCAAAAAAATTACATAAATAAGCTATGCATTTTCGGAAAACAATTTTTGGTGAACCAGTGGAATTTCACATTTACTACCATCGCGGTGTCATATTGCGATCAAGGAAAAATTCAATCGATTGATGGACAGTTTTCTGCACAAAGAGAAAAAACCAAAGATCCCTGTTCTTATTTCTGAGTTAGGAAAAGCGTCCGACGTTGCTGAATCCACGGGGTATGCGCAATGCATTCGACTCTATTTGCGTCATCGTAGAGCTGGTTGAACCTATATCTGACCTATGCAGTGACTTGCGGTGACCAACCAGTCGATCGAGTAAGTGCTGCGATTCTCCCAGATATCTCAGTCACGAATTTGCTGACACCAGAAGGGTGGAAGGCTTGGTGAGCGGGAGCATTGGATTGAGCCCATTTGTATTGCAGGGCACCTCTAACTACTGCGCTAAGCGCGGCCCCTGAGTTAAGCTAGTGACTTTAATTCTGTAATCGTCATCATTGTACCGTGTTCTACGAAGAGTACTTTGCCAAATTTTGTCAAGTTTTCCATCTTTGTCATCGTTGCACCGATGATGAGATGGATAAGATTTTTGAACTACTCAAAGAACAGTCATATAGAACTGGTTTTTGTTTTTAAGCCTTCACACAGACCTTCACGAAACTAGTTACATTATAAGGTAGTAACTAAAACCAACTAATAAAAACGTAGTAGTCCACTCGTTTGTTTTCGTCTTTCACACGCACAAAAAAGACGCCAGGAAAAGAACAGTTGAGGGAACGACCTTACTTCAGTTGGCACACAGCTACCTGACGTGGTAACGAAACAGTTAACACGCTGCATTGTTCTATATAGGGAATAATATCCAAAAACAACAACTCTAGCATCAGTAGCATTCCATTTATACTCTTGTTTTCTTGGACTCTTGTTTTCAATGGACCGCACGTAGCACAGTGGTTAAGGATGCCCTACAGTACACACATGGTCTTTGGTTGGAACCCGCTCCCCTAAGGCAACACGGGCCTTTCTTCGTTCTGCGGTCGACATACTGGTACCAGAGTTGTCTCAGGAGATAGAAGAACTTGACACATCGGAAGGCCATCACAAGTTATTCTATAAGGCAGATATGCAAACGTTCAATGTTGATCAGTCCCTAGGAGATGCTCCATGCATTCTCATCTATACGCCATCGTAGAGGGGAATGCATATTTAGTCGATAAAGTGATTTCTGCGAGTCTAGCGATGTATCACATTAGTGTTTTTATGTTTCTAAACAAGTCTGTTACCAACATAGAGCCCAGGAAAAAAAAACAGCTTGGTGAACTCGGCTATGGGGTTCGGATCAAAGACGTCGTGTTGATTGCTGAGCACATCTAAGGACTGTGCTACGTGGACAAATTTTTGAAGAATTCAAAAAACTCTTCGTTAAGACTGCATATCCTTCACTGGTTAAGGTGTTATAGCAATAAGCACCCGTCGAGGGTCTGAAGAACTCGAAGACGCAGAAGCACTAGCCATTGAGATTCAAAAGGCGTGCCGACAACATTGTATTAGCTAAAGACAGCTGAACTGTAAGAAAAAATGCTTACTAAGGATGCGGTTAATTAAAGGTTAGTTTTCCAAAATGACGAACACATGAAAAATTTTCAGTATGTTTTTAACCACATTCCGTTTTTAAAATCTTTTCGTGAGCTTAGAAACTGAATTTCAAGGAAAACTGAATGAGGTGCTCGAAGAGTACCTTGCGATATGTTGCGAATAAGTGTTAGCGGTAGTTAGGAAGACAACTCCATCCTACTGTTCCCCATGAAAACTTCTGATAAAGTCAAATAAAAAAAAATGATTTATAAAACATTTATTTAACAGGAATATAGAGAATTATTTTATGTACTATGCTGATAAAGGAGTGTGAGGCGCAGTGGTCGGAGGCGTCCTGCAAGACACAAATGGAATCGATTTTCGCTCCCGTGGCTCACCAAACCTTCCATCTCTCCGGGGTGAGCAACTTGGTACCAGAGTTGTCTGGGAGGACAACAGCAGTGGCAGGCAATCTCGAATCATTGTAAAGGCCAAATATGTATTCAATCACCTCCAAACGATTCTTAATGAAGTCGAATGCATGGTGCATCTCTAAGGGATTGATCAACGCCGAGAGCTTCATCCTTTATTTCCCATGCTGACAGAGTGCGTACGGCACAATGGTAAATGAGCTCAATGCATAGTCGTCAATCCATTCTTCGTTGCTAGTTCGACACCGCTTCCATGATTAACCACGCCTCCCATCCCTCCAGGATCGACAACTTGCTGCCAGAATTGTGTAGGATGGTAAAAAACGCTAACTTGTTGTTTACCAAACATACTTTTGTCAACCTTGCATTAGCTTGTCAATAAAAGAATATGTATCGATAGACCACCGTAAGTCATTGCATAAGCCAAATATGCATCCATTTGCCCTTAACACTAAAGAATTGATGAAGGCCAACCTCTTCAGCACCTTATCAAGACTGATAATTGTTCGTTCAGAAGATTCTAGAAATGCTGCACAGAGACCAATGTGATTGAGGGGTTCTCACTAATGGTGAACCGCTTTCATCGTGGCAAAGAAATATTCTTGAGTGATGAACAACGAAGACAACAGGGTTCATCCTCTTCAGCAGTGGAATTTTGATTGAGGCATTTGGCATTTTTGTCAGAAAGCCCACCTAATATTAAATCAATGCCAGGGACCATCCGGCAACTTCAAAGCAGCCATCCTTCCGCACCGTTTGCTTTGGAGAAGGAGAAGAGCATGGGTCACACTCGAGCCTCTCAAAGAAGCCATCGACCACCTAATAGAGTACAAACTCTGAGCTTACCTTTTGGAATTAGGAAGTTCCTAGCGCTCTGCGATGCAGTAGAGATGTGGAGATAGTTCAACCACGTCAAGAATACAGTGCACCGCCCAAAGAGCTCACTTGTGAAATTTAACCAGCACCCACAACTTCTAGTCGGAATGCGCCTCTCAGGTCTTCGAAACCTACCCATACTCGGGATCCAGGAGTACTGTATGAAACCCAGATGCGATGGCCACAGAATAAGAAAAACAGACAAAAGATGGACGAAAAGAACAGTGAAACTGTTCCAAGTGGATGCAAGTGCTCTCTTGGACGGCCACCCAATCGATAGTCGGACATGGTCGTGGTCAACGTCAACCATGGTAAAGCATATTTTCATTTAATTATTTATTTCACCAAGATCGATATCAAATATTTTTTGTACACAAGCATCTCATCTTTCATTCATGTTGTTTTTTCACATCCACCATCCGTGGACGCCACCTGCCGTATAGGTTTGGCTGTTTTTGGAGAATTTTGGTCTTGTTCATAAGCGAGGTTGAATGCTGATCGAGTCAACTACCCCTAGAATTCCCAGGTTTTCATTGCAGGCTATGATTAGACTTCGTCGTGGATCGGAGGAAACTTCACAAACAAATTTTTCGAGCGAGTTAAGACGGGAGGTTTAGTTGACCAGGGAAGAAGCTGGACCAGCCCATTGCGCTTATTATAGAACGGTGTCGGTATCACTGCGCTACAGGCGCTCCTGTAACGATGAATTAGTAAAATACAGAAAGTCGTTATTGCTCGCCCATCGAAAAACTGTGGAAAAGTGGAGGTACTGCAACCGCTCAGATGTTAGCTTGTTATAGATTCGTGGATACCACATACTTTGAAACAGTCATGAATCATCCTCTAAATTCTGTACTTTATAAAAATTAATTTAATGTAGTTCTTTTTACAGTGATTCATTTTTCAGCTTTTTTGTCAGCATTGCCATTCTGTTTTTCAAACATTAGAAACCGTTCCTTAATATTCGTTACCCTCCTAACGGTTTACCGTCTCATCGAGGCTGGGAGATGTTCCTGGCTGTAGCGCTACGATGTACAGCAGAGGTAGTCATACCCCACGGCAGGGTCTCCTAAGCTGAGAAGGAGTCCGGCGTTTCTAACAAGGGAAATCCGGCTAAGAGTAAACGAATACCATGATCCAACACCGTCCTGGTATCAAACTAATCATATGGTGGCAAATATCCCTCTAAACCACAAGAACGGGGCTGTCCGTGGTGGTGACGACCTGGAGTAGACTTTGGCCAGGCCAGCGTCTTGACTCCAGGAAAATACAATGGCTGAACTAGCAAAACTCCGAAAAATGGAGAATATACCGAGGCCCTCGCAACCAGTGAGGACGGGCCGTCCAAACATCTAAGTAAGTAATGTTCACTAATTTATTAGCTATGTCGATATTTGAGTAGAGGCCACACATTGTTTCCATAAACTCTTATTATTTTTACATTCTAACAGATTTTGTTTACAGATACACAAATCCTGTTAGCCGTTATGAGTGGCATCGTTTTCAGACCACCATTAGTCTAGGCTGAACTATTAGAAAATGAAGCAAACCGTACTTTTGTAGAAGAACTCCTTTCCATACTCAAGTTTCACTTCTTCTGGGCAACTGCCGTACATCGTGTCGAGTTGACTCTGAATTTCAATTTTTCAGATCGTCGAAGCCGGAAGAACAGCGAGGAATCGAACCTCGACATTCTTGCGGCTGGTGAGATGAGTGGTGAAGAATCCCGGCTCAAGTACGTGCACTGATACTCCAAACAGACGTAGTTCTGTTCTAGAAATTATCTAGCTTCCCTACAAAATATCATTGAAAAACACATGTACTGTTCAGAAAGAACGATTAAGGATGGTCAATTAACACTCTCACGACGACTGACCTCTACGGGAGTCATAGCGATGTTGCTAGAATGACCGGTACGATCTCCATTGGTCTCATTTTCCTTTCGGTGGTTTATTTTATTTAACACTTAGGACTTTTTCCTATATTCGTTGTAATGAATCGATAGATTGTAGGACGCAGGTGCTGCATTGGGTGTTGATTGGGAAAAGGTTTATTCTGCACTTAGAAATAAACAAAAGATTGTTTTCCGTACGTGTTCACCAACTGGGAATTTGAGTCTAAATCAACCATTATTTCAATTCTAACCTATGTACTGAATCATAGCTATCAATCGAAGTGTGTGGATATAGAAAATGTTGAAACGGAAACGCTTAATGCCAACTTTTTATTTACCGCCTAGAACCACTATTTATGCAAATATCTCGGCATCATAGATAGGCATAAGTTGCAAAACATTGCAAAACACCTTCTTGACGCAGACAGGAATGTTTTTGTCTGGTGGACCATAGCAACATGTAGCAAATAGCTGTTATCCTCCCATCGGTTTACCTCCTCGTCGTGGCTCGGTGGTGTTCCTGAGTGCCGGGCAGCGATGTACAGCGAGAGGATTCCTCCCCCGGAAGGATCTCCCAAACTGAGGAGTCCGGCGTTTCTATCGGGAAGCCTAGCTAAGAGTAAACCAATATCAGGATCCACCACCGTCTTGGTAGCAAGGTCGCATGGTGGTAAATCTCCCTCTGACCCACAAGGGCTGCGACTGCCTGTGGTGGTGACGATCTAGGGTAGGGTAGACTTTGGCTAGACTGACCTCAGGACTGCAGGAAACCACAATGGCTAAACCAGCAAATCTCTGAAAAAATGGGGAATGTGTTGGGCCCGCACAACTAGTGAAGACGAGCTGCCCAAATGTTTAAGCATCTAACTAAGTAAATAGACACAACGTTGCTGAGACATTTGCAAATCTCCGGACCGCAGGCGTCTGGGGTGGGGAACGAACGCGCCATTATTCTTTCAGAGGCTAACGCGTTCACCACTACACCATGCGGGTCCTTCGTTTCGCCTGTCTCGCCCTAAGTAAATAATATTACGCATATAAATGACACGCATAAAGAAAGATAGAGCAAAGTCTGTTCTACCACGTTTTCATATTCACAACCCATCACATCTTCTAGCTGTCGAAAAATTGTTGTTCATTGTTAAAAAACCAAAAAGTCCGTAAACGCTGAAAACCATGAGTCGCCTATTGCGGCAGAAAAGCGAAATTAGGCGTCGTCAAGAGAGTGTTAACAGCCATGCACTATTTACCTAATTGTGTCACAGTAACCAGTTAGAGCAAACTTCGATACCGTATACGGTCCAGTGCCCATAAAAGCGAATCGACCACAAACACTGGTCGCAATCACGATTCGGCCTCTGTCGAGCATCAAAAATAAGGCATTTAAGGCAATTCCATCGATAGGTCTTAGTTTTTTAGACGGTTTTATTCATACGTTATGTTAATTTTTTTTGATAAAATGTATAAATTATACAGATTTACTATCTGTACCTTATAAAATGTCGGCTAAAGACATTATTGCCTTACGTCGTTTCAATGTTTTCTCTGTTCCAAAGTATTTTACACTGCGACGAAACAGACAACAGAGATAGCGGGTTGAAAACGACATTTTTTGGAGTCTCAGGAACGCTTGTTGGAAATCGTTCATTTCCCTGCATTCTTATCAATGAAATGGAGTTAGAAACAAGAATCGAACTGACCTGGTTCGCTTAACAAGTGGTTTAAATGCTTGCACTATCCGGATTGCACCCCATAAATTTACATCGGCTGTCTGCTTATAATCTTCGATAGTCAGAAAGTCGTCAAAGAACGTGTTTCCAAGCACACCGGCATTGTTCACAACGCCATGAAGACCTAAAATTGTACTAGTTCGACTGAAATGTTACTCGAATGGCGGCTGAAAGGTGAGCAGTCAGTCATCCAGTTTTTAGAATATGTTTATAGATCTACAATTCCGTGTCCAGGAATGCGAACAACGATCTCTCGCATAAGAACCGAGTCTTCTACCCTTCGATTCAGGAAATTCAGAAAATCGGCACAAGCTTGTCTGAAAACAAAAGCTAGCGAGTGATTGTGGCGGATGTCTAGGATCACCCTAGTATGGCTTCTCCAGGATTCATGCGAAAGTCGACTCCACCAGAGTTTAACGATAATTGTAAGGTCTTCAAGGAGTAGCCGAATGCAACCAAAACGTATATCTAAAATTTAAGAGTCTTTGGCGATGATGGATGCAAGAAAAGGAGTCCAATGAAATTAATGCACCGCTTGACATATGCTCCCTCCCAACGGTTCGCCACCTCATCGTGGCTCGGAGTGTTCCTGAGTGTTGGGCTGCGATGCAGAGCAGATGGATTTATACCCCGGTAGGATTCCCCACGCTAACAAACTGCCCGGAGTTTCCATCAGAAAGCACAGCTGTGAGTAAGTGAGTAATACCAGGATCCACCACCGTCCCATTATCGAGTTAGTAGCATGGTGGCAAATTTTCCTTTTATCAACAGCGGCGACGACTTCCTGTGGTGGTGACGACCTGGGACAGATTTTGGCCTGGCGGAACACGGGACTCCAGGAAACCACAGTGGCTAAACCAGCAAAGTTTCGAAAAACGGAGACCATGCAGGTCTTCTCGCAACCACTGAAGACCGGCTATCCAAGTGCCCAAGTAACTAGTAACTTGTGATCTCATACTGTACAAAACTATTTATGCCATTAAAAGGTACCAACAGTTGTAGGAAGTACGGGAGCATTTAGTGAAACCCTGCAATATTTTTTTCTGTTTAAGAATTCCTGATGATGCCTATAATTAATATAGCACAAAGAAATAGCCAATAAGACCGCTTCTAAGAGCTCCATACAAAACGTTATTAAAATGGTAGTACTTAGACAACAGCGTCTACTTTTTTACTTCGTATGATTCTCCTTCATATATTTCGGGGGTTCCAGCACTTTTACCTTTCATCCACCATGAAAGACAGGGTTGAGATAAGAGAACAGATTCAGGTACGACTTCATCCTTGATACTTGATACTTCAACGACCCGTCATCGCTAGTTGTGCGGGCCCCAGCATTATCACCACCTTTCAGAGATTTGTTGGTTAAGCCATTGTGGTTCATTGAAATCACAAGGACAGCCTGGCCAAAATTTGCCCCAGGTCCTCACCAACACAGGCAGTCGCAGCCCTTGTGGATCAGAGGGAGATTTATCACCATGCGACTTTGATACCAAACGGTGGTAGATCCTGGTATTGGTTTACTCTTAGCTAGGCTTCCTGATGGAAACGCCGAACTCCTTCTCAACTTGAGAGACCCTGCTGGGTGGACGAATCCCTCCGCTGTACATCGCAGTCCGACACCAAGGAACACCTTCCAGCCACGATGAGGCGGTAAGCTGTTGGGAGGTAGGACTTCATAACTTCGCTTTATTCATGGACACTGCTCAACCCTAATAGGAAGTATTCTGCATGAGACCACAAAAGAAGTCTTGCCCGAGGTTCTTCACGGTTCTACCGGAGGCATTCTCCAGCCTTTCGGATGCGTACAAGTCTGTTCAAGACAGATATGTTACCAATTTGGTGCCTTCGGTGGTGCAGTTGCATGGCAAGATCGAGCTAGTGACAAAAGACATGTGCATTACAGAGCACATTCAATCACTGTGCTATACATACCCCGAACAACGACTATTTACATCAAAATTACACTCTGCGAACTAGGAGAACGCTCACAAAATTCCGCTTGTTTAACACTGCTGGACTTTTTTCACATCAAATGCATTAGGTGTGGGTTGATACGGAGGTAATAGCTGCTTTCAATTCTAAGCGAAGGCATCCCAGTTTGTATCAAGCCTTAACAGTTAGGATAGAAATTGCTACAATATTCAAGTTTTGCCTACGAGATATAAATTTTCTTCTTCACGCCAGTTGAAATTCTGATTTGCTGAAACTTAGGGAAAATATACGCCCTTGCAAGCTTAAGTCACGATAAGTTTCGTTTTGGATAAATTTCAAAAATCCAAAGATGAACCGGAAAGACGAATGTCTCACTATCACACGTGGCCTGGCGCCTTATTGCAAAATGATATTTTGACTCCGGGGTGTGTCTTGCTTGCGACCCTACGTGAACAACACGTAGGCAAGTCCCACTCGTAACATCACGGTGAGTGGCCTTTCTGTTCAATATGGCGTCTATTTAAAAGTTTGATCTTCATTAATACTTTGACCTTTTTCCACCGAATAATTAAAGTATTCTAATATAAAACCCGTCCAGGCTCTGAGGAAGGCGAAGTCGCCGAAAAATCGGCCATCGACCAACAACATCAACAACAACGACAACGACAATGAAGACGTATACCAATCTCTCATCAGCTAAAGAAGGTCAGTTTATGAGATCATATAAATAAATAAGAAGATCATTATCATGAACTGCTACTCACCGATCGACGCAGCTGATGAGTACGAATTAAATGCGTCTTACTATCAATTGGAGGAAGTCATCCGCAATGATAAAGCATATCATAAATTTGTTGTTGGAGACTTCAACGCCAGAATAGGAAAGGCCAACGAGAGCGAATACAGAACCGGAAATTTTGGATTAAGAGAAGGGAATGAGAATGGAAACAGTCTCGCAGGACTCCTGTCAGCAGCACGTCTCTTCCATGGAAACTCGTTTTTCCAGAAGAAAGAAAGCCGCCGATGGACATGGGAGTCTCTCAACGGCATGACTCATGCGGAGACCGACAATATTCTGACAAACACAAGGTGATACTTACTTGACACATCGATGGTCCCGTCATTCTGTACTGGTTCCGATTACCGCCTTCTTCGCGCGAAGATTCGATTCAGCCGCAAGCTGGAAAAGAACTCTCTTCATCGGCCACGAGGAAAAAGTCTAGCTGTATACAACGAGAACATTCTGAATGAAGTCCTATCCAAACGTGACTGACAGATTAAAGACGACCCGACCGAAGAGTACGAGCAGCTTGTCGAAGGACTGAAAAGCTGTGCGAGTTAGCTTCAGTTCCTCAAGCAAGAAGATCGGATCGCATCTCTGTCACTATCAAGGAGTTACTCGAAAAGAGAAGGAAACTGAAGCTTGATCCTACTGCAACACGATTAACATGGCTAGTAATAAATGCCAGCTGCCGAAGAGCTTTGCAGGAAGATCTGCAACGCTGCAAGCAGAAGAAAATAAGTGGAAGCAGCAGAGAAAAGAAGCGGTCTGAAAAAATGCCGTCGTGACTTGTGTGATTATAATGTTCCGCTGTCAGTCCTGATGAATGAAGATGGGATAGCCAAAACTATTCGCCATGATATGGAATTAATAGCAGAAACGTTTTACACCAACCTTCTCCGTTCCACAATCTCCGTCCCGGACCCTAATATCCCGCTGGAAAAAAACCACCTGAAATACCTTCGTCGGAGGTTCCAGTTGCGATAGAAAGCATGAAAAGAGGTGCGGTTCCAGGATCAGATAGTATCACCACCGATTTCCTTAGAGCTGGAGGCCAGAACTTGCATGTACTTCTCGCAAATCGTATGACAGCCTGCTTTCAAAAGGAAAAAATCCCAGACCAGTGGAGGACGCCACGCACATCATCTTGGCCAATAAAGGAGGCCGAAAGGATCTTCGTAACTATCGCCCCATATGCTTGTTGAGTGCACTCTACAAGCTCTTCACGAAAATTGTCCTCTCGCATATAAAGGACATTGGATGAGGCGCAACCAGTCGAGCAAGCAGGATTTCGAAAACGATTTTGCTGCATAGACCATATCCAAACTGTGTCCAGAGTTATCGAAGTTTGTTGAGAATACCACCTGCCTCTAGTCCTAACCATTGCCGACTATGAAAAAGCGTTTGACAGCGTTGAAGTGAATGCAGACCTATCAGCGCTCGTCGACCAAGCAGTGGACCCGTCCTACATAAGGACTCTGTCTGACTGTTATCGGAACTGCACTGCGAAAATACAGGCTTTCTATCGACCTCTTACAAAACCAATAGGAAAAGGAGTTCGGCAGGGCGACACAATATCGCCAAAGCTGTTCTGTGCCCCACTGCAGTGGATAATGAAGTTACTGGATTGGGATGAGAAAGGCATACGTATTGATGGAATATTCCTGACAAACCTTCGTTTTGCCGACGACATCGTCATCTTCTCAAGAAGTAGTGGCGAAGCAGAGACGATGATCAACGAGCTCAACGAAAAGATAAGGATAAGAAAAGAAGATAAGAAGGATAGATAAGATAGGAAAAGATAAGATAAGAAAAAATATTTCGAAAAGATTTCGAAATAGAAAAGATAAAGCTTCGCATAAATAGAAAGAAGATCCAGTTCATGAAAAAGCCATGCTGCGAACGCGAAAAAGTTGAATTGGACGGCTCACTCATTGTAGAGACCACCTCGTACGTATACCTTGGGCGATCAATGATCATGGAAAACAACATTAAGGAGGAACTACATAGAAGAAGGAGAGCAACTTGAGCTGCATTTGGGTCTCTCAAAGAAGCCACCGACCAACTGAAGGAGCCGAAAATCCGCGCTCATTTCTTTGATTCTACGGTCCTCCCAGCGCTCTGTTATGCTGCTGAGACGTGGGTTGTTACTTCAACTACGTCAAGAATGCTTTGAACTATTCACAGAGCGCTTGAGCGATGTCGTCTGAAATATAACCGACACTCCCACTATGTAGCCGGAATGCGAAGTTCTGACCTTCGAAATCTGTCACATCTTCGAGATCCAGGAGAATATACATCGATAGCGAAACATAGATGGGCCGATCACATAATGAGAAGAACAGACGGCAGATGGACGATAAGAACAGTAGAGTGGACTCCAAGAGAATGCAAACGTCCCCTAGGACGGCCACCTACACGTTGGGCGGACGTGTCCGTAAACAAAGTTAATCAGCTGTACCCGCAGCTGCAATTATTTTACAGATCACGGTACGAGACTCTCACGCGCTACCATGCTCGAACAAGACCACCACCATGGACTACGATTGCGAGAGAAAGAAATGAATGGCAATTGTGCTGGGGTTCGCACAACTCGTGAAGACGGACCGTCCGAGTATCCAAGTAAGTATGGAAAATATTGGTTTCCCTTTTCTTTCCTCTACGGCACCTATTTTGACCACCAATGTAAATGAACGGACTGGATTTCGCCTAACAGGGTACGATGGCGTTTGTTAGCTTATTGTTTACACTTGTGGCTTTCGCTCTTGCGGTGTGATACTTAGGTTTACTTTTCCGCTTTTCGACAATTTTATTCGCGAACATATTTAAACACGAGATTACTATATGGTGATCGTATGTACTCGGAAGGTGATAGAACAAAGTCAAAAAATTCTCCGAACTTCTCAACTACTCAAACACGGTCTTCTTTTATCGAAAAATTCTCGTCTCTTATCGAAGAAACAGCTTCAAACTTTATTTGTCACCGGTAGAATCCACTCTTTCACGTTTAACAAGATTTAATGGAAACCAGGCACAATATTGCCCAAAAGCTATAGGGTTGCTGAGATGCTTGCAAAGGTCCAGACCACTGGTGTCTGCAGTGGGGACCGAACACGTCATTACCCTTTCATGGGACTAACGCGTTCACCACCACACCATGCCAGCCCTTCGTTTCGCTGTCAGACAGCCGAAATGTAGGACTCGCATGGTGTGGTGGTGAAAACGTTAGCCCCTGGAAAGGATAATAGCGTATTGGGTTCCCCGCACACACCAGAGGTCTGGAGTTTTGTAAATATCTCAACAACACTATGGTTATGTCACATAATACGCTTCTATTAAGAATTATCAAGTAGTTAGTAAAATTTGGCAACTACCCAAAAAAAGCCAAATTTCTACAAAACATAGTTATATGAACTAGATAGTAAATGTTTACTCCCTAATTTTTTTATGTCTGAAATTAATGAATGACGAAAAGCATTGTGACAGGAGTTCTGTAGAAAGGACAAGATCAGAACTAACC